CACAATTATTGCATTCTAGTGATAATAGAACAATTTATGGAAATTTATTCTCGTCTGCATATTTTACTTGTATTCTCAGTATTACTCGTTTTTTTCTTCTTCTTTTAAAGTGATACTGATAAGAACAATAATCTATGACATACAGCAAAGTTTAAGAAACGTTCAGGAAAATGCTTTCATTTATATTAAACATTTTTAATTAACCTTATTCTTGTGCATATTTTTGCCGCCGTCATGCACTTTTGTCTGCCTCTATTTTATAGCTATATTTGTTGTCTTCGAAAGAAAAAGGGATGAGTACAATGTAATTAGTAATATCAAAATCAAGTGCAAAACATAAATAGAGAATACACTGAATCAAATCATTTGTATATGATATTATTTATCAATTAATATAAACGTATAAGATTCGTTGAGAAATTATGTTATAAATCAATATTCTACATATTGTAAAGTTCTTTCTGCTCTTAATATTCTATATGAATGAAGTCAAACGATAAATCGGCCGAAATGAGTTTGTTGCATGTTGAATAGATCCTAAACAATCATAATGTCTTTCAAACTATATACAAAAAGATACAATCAAGTAGGTGGTGAAGCTGAATGCCGTTCTAATTTTTTTTTCATATAAAAGTCACATCACGCATCAGAACAAAAACATACAGAGACACACACACACACATACACACATACGATGAATATTGTCGTTTTTTTTTGTCAACGCATATCCTTCTGTCGACATCTTCGTCGTATATACATATGCGTAATGATTATAATGCATCATTCGTGCGAATAAGATTAACACATATCTTCGATGATTATTTGCTTTATTAAAAATTGGCTCGTTTGATTATCGAGTTCTTTCATATTCGTTTTGCTTCATTTCTTATTCCGCATAGTTTACATTCGTGCAAGTTTTTAATTTTGAATATGTGCATTCATGCAAGATTGTATATAGATAGATGACAAAAAGAACTTGTAAAAACAAAATTGAACAAATTATTAACTAATTCGTGCGTCAAAGGTACATGCTTGTTTTTTTATCATGATTGGCTACAATTATTGCTGATCGATTATTCAAATAAATAAATATTCATTAAACTGGAAGATAAACTCAGATTTGTCAAAAATATAAAAATAACTTAATAAAATTCCTTTTTTTTTTCTTTTGTTGTTTCATCTAATAAGACAAAGATATTCTTATTAGATCGAGTACTATATATATATATATATACCTGTTTGATTCGAAAAACTCTTGAATATGAAATACAATACAAAAAACAAACTTCAGTACTAAGAAAAAAATAATGTAAAAAATTACAAAATGATAAGAGAAATGTTTAGAAGGCTTTTTGTTGTGCGATAGGAATCCATTTATACGACTTTCATACAGCTTTCGACGGCGCATGTTTTGAAAAAAAAATCAAGATGCTATCATTTTCTTAAGCCGAGATGCACGCAAAGTATAACAGTCTTCCAAGCATTTTAATCATGTTAAATCCGGTGGGAAGTAGCATTATCATGCATTTCTTTTCAGTTTGAGTATGGAATAAAGCGTCAAAAGAAGTCAATAGGATTTGTTCTTACAGTTTTTGTAGAGCTTTTCATGGTGCATCTTTTGAAATAAAAACCAAGATTTTATTACTTGTCCGTACAGGAAATTTCGCAAAATAAACTATGTTGCAAACATTTTTGGAACACTCGATATTTCACAGTATTTAATATTTTGATTATAATACCGACATTTCTCAATGAAATTCGAAATATTTTTTTTATAACAAAATGATTAGTGAAAAAAGTTCTATAAAGTCTGATAAAATGAAAATTTCTCTGCATACTTTGTGTTTTTCGTGGTTGACTGACCGTAGAAGTATCCTATAACCACAATATCATTTCGTAGTTTTTTATGTCATTTTTTTCTTTGTACTGAAGTTTATTTTTCTTATTGTATTTCATATTCAAGAGTTTTTCCAATCGAACAGGTGTATATATATATATATGTAGTACTCGATCTCTGCTATCCAAACATATAATTGGATTAAATTAATCTTGTGCAGTTTTAATACATAACTCAAAATAAAAAAGTGGAACCAGACTTTTGACTCGCACTGTATTTCGAAAAATAAATTTGAATGAATTATAAATATAAAATTCTTGATAAATTTATTGATATAAATCAAAAGATTTCGTTATTTAACTTTGAGTTTCTTTTTTTTCTTTTTCTTTTTCTTCTTTTTACTTTTTTTATTATTATTATTATCTAAATCACAAAGTTTATTAATAAATTGATGATAATTAAATGTATTTAATGATTTTTTTGAATCATTTATCATTGAAAACATAATTTTAATATCTTTCATTGTTAATGGCATTTCACCTAATGTTGTTAAATTTTGAATTAAATATTTTTTATCAATAAAACCTTGTTGTTCAGTATCAAATATTTCAAATGATTTAATTAATAAAAGAGCTATATCATCATCTGTTAATTCTTCCCAATAAGGTGCAAGAATATATTCGATTTCATCAAGAAAATATTCATCCGTATGATAAGTTTCTTCTAAAGTTTTTTTAATTTTTTCAATTGTATTTTTTGTCATATTTTGCCCAGCTAAATAAAGTGTTTGTTCCAAATTCGATAATTCTTAAGAAAAAAAAAATTATATACAGTGTAACTAGTTTTCTTTTAAGTAATCTAATCAATCAAAAAAACAAAGAAGTTTATCTTTACGAAATATATTTTTCAAATAATTAACTTCTTATGTTATGTGATTCTTCTTGCAATATATATATATGTATACTGTAGATATCTGATACAATAAATTTATCATACAGTGATAGTTAGTGCATGTGATATGATTTAGTAACGTTAATTACTACATATGGTATATGTAAATTTTAATATCGAATGTAGTCAAAATCAAATTGACAATAAACTAAATGTTTGTTGTTTAGTTTTAGAGATATATGATGAAAATAATGGATTATCGAAAAGTAATTTAAGAAAATGTTCGTTGATTTTTTAGCCTCTTATTAAAGGAGAAGCCTGCAGAACTTTGAAAACATTGAGTGAGTTTCAGAATTTTGTGTTCTTGACTTCAAAAGTTGTTGTAGGATTTCGAGTTTAAGAATTATTAGAGGTTTCTAAACTGAATTTGGACAAGCTAAAATTATCCACAGAAGAAATGAAAATTATTTCAAATACAGCGAAGGAAAGAGCAAATATTTCTCTATAAAATGGTATACTAATAATTCCATTTGTCAACAATGAGTGTTTTGGTAAGGTGGACTATATCAATTTCTCGATTTTTATGGAAAACAGACTTATAAAGTGAGCTCAACCGTTCATGAAACTCTTGATTGTTATAGCATTTTATAAAGAACAATCTCGAATTTTACTTCTTTCCAAAAGAAATCAGCAACATAACATATGCAACAAAGTGGACTATTGCCATAAAACTGTCAATTTTCTCCGTAGAAACTTAACTTTTGCGCTTTCAAAAGATCGATTTATAACTAGAGCAAGAAAGAATAATCCTGCCTTGTGGTATGAGGTGCAGTCTAGCGACAGATTCAGTAACTTAATATCTTCTCTACAACTAATACTAGTCATAGCTCTGAACAGAAGATCAACCTGACTCAGAGTTCTTGTGCTCAATTATTTTGAGCTTTCCATACGCACTAACTAACAATACATTACACTCTAAAAAAACTAGGTTTCTTACGAAACCTAAAAAGGTTCCTCTCGCCGGTGCAAAGTCGGAACTATTTTTGGTTTCATACCAAACTTATGTAAGTTTCGTACAAAGAGCACAAAGCCTTCTTCACTCCATGAATCTTTCAAAAGGTTTTGTGCTTTTTATACCAAACTTTTTTGAGCTTGATACGAAACCAAAAAAAAATAAGGTTCCTAGTTTGTATCCATGAAAAGAACCTTTCTAGGCACCGTAACAGAAATTCTCTTTTAGAATATAGCCATAGGAGCATGTGTATGTCACAGCGATCTAAAGTAAACTATTCCAGGATTTATTCGTATCATATCTTAAAAAAAAAAGTTCTTCAATACTCATTTTTTTGTTCATGTAGTCGATGACTGGCACATTTTTTGAGTTATCTCTCTTGAATTATGTTCTGACTGATTATACATAAGATAATTCGCTTAAAATCATAGAATATTTACCTATAATCTTTATTTCTAGTCTCGGTCTCGGCAACTTCACTTTCCCACGGCCCCGGTCCCAGGAAACTTTGGTTCTGCACATCTCTACTCATAACTTCTGAACCAGAAGTCCTAGAGAAATGTTGAATCTCTATTCAAAAACAATACAAAATTTTGATTCAAACTCAATATTTTCAAATCCTGTAGGTTCCTTGATGAGATCGAAACATGAGTGTATATTCTATCGAATAACTTTTCGATAATCTGTCATCATTAGTTTCGGGATATTATTAGATGTAAGATAATATCTAAATTCAAACTAATTCAATACATTTACAATCGTATCCATGCTTAGAACTAGGTCTAATATACATTTGAAATTTTATCAGAAAATTAAACATAATAGAAACTAATATTTCTCACTGATGATTAATTCTCCGGCGACTTTTGTCTTAATAACATTTCGTAATTTTTCCATTTCAACATCTGATAAATGTTGTTTATCAAATAGATCTTCTTTATTTTCGAAATCATTTTCGAGAATATCATCGTTTCGAATCAACGAATATCCTTCATTATTATACATTAATTTAGAACAAAAAAAAAAGAACCAACGAATACAATTCTAAAAAACAAAAAGAGCGCAATGTGTCTTTGTCTTTATTTTGTATATAATATTTGTTCAATAGAACATTTATTTCATATGACTTCCACCTGGACATATAACTTTTGCATTATATAAAAACCATACGAATGTATTCATTTCACTTATAATGATATCAATAATATATTTTAAAATGGAATGTTTCCTTGAAAATATCAAATAAAATGGAATGTACAATTAAAGAATAAATGGAATCAATGCATATCTATTCGATGGATATAATTTTTTATAATGTCGATAATACCATTGATGATTTAATAAAGCTGATAAAGATTGATTAACTAATATCCATATAAATAAAGATGCCATAGCTGATGTTCGATGACTTGCTATGAAAAATGAATAATAAATAAAAATTTCTGTTATATAATTTGGACATGAAAAATAATTAAATATCCAATAACCGTATGGAATAGGATATAAATCATTTTGTAAACGTTTTATTTTGATAAATGTTAAATGTATATTATATTGTATATAACTTGCATAAAAAAAAATTATTAAAGCAAAAAAATATTTTTGAATATTTATATTTGTATATGAATATTTATAATCAATAATTATTGTTAAACCAACACATGGATAATGTATTAATCCATAAAAATAATATAAAAAATTTATTTTTGATTTATATTTATTTATATATATACATTCATATAAACGACGTATTATATGAAGAATAAATAAAATAAAAAGTAGAAAATATGATAAATGATATAGGAATAATATAAAATTTATTATACAACCAATTATATAAAAATGTATATAATATGATTTTGGTATACTACCTTGATTTTTTAATTTATTATGAAGATATAAACGTTGGAGAATAATATTTATTATTGATAAATCCATTTGACAATCAATTAATAACCATATACCGGATAAAAGTATTATAGCTGATAATGAAAGCCAAAAAAATGTTATCAATAAATTGAGATTCCATTCAAACATCTTCTTTTCTTATTTTTTTTTTTT